TGAAAGACAGAATTTGTTCATGAAAAATGACATCTCTACTAACAAATATTGTGTTGGTATTGATGTCAAGTAACTTATAGCCTTTAATACCAGTAGGGAAGCCTAGGAACACACACTGCCTTGATCTAGGATCAAACTTAGTTTTATGGCTTCCTACACTAGTAGCATAAGCTAAGCAACCAAACACCCTTAGATTCATATAATCTGGAGGAACTTGATGTAAAATCTCAAAGGGTGTTTTGTGATTAAGAATAGGGGTAGGTGTCCTATTGATGAGGTATGATGCATGAAGAACAAAATCACCCCAAAAATGTAAAGGTAATCCTGACTGGAACTTTAAAGACCTGGCCACATTAAGCAAATGTTGGTGTTTTCTCTCAACCCTCCCATTTTGTTGAGCTGTGTAAACACAACTCATTTCATGAACAATCCCATGATCCGAGTAAAAATCAGTCATGTGAAACTCTATACCCTGATCTGTTCTTATGGTTTTGACTGAAACAGAAAACTGATTTTTCACCATAAAACAGAAAGATTGGAGTGTTGGTCTGGCTTCTGCCTTTATTTTAAGAAGAAAAACCCAAACTGCCCTACTGTGATCATCCACAACAGTAAGGAAGTAGGAAAAACCATCTATGGAAACAGTGTGTAAGGGTCCCCAAATGTCTGCATGTATTAAATCAAAGGCATGTGTGCTAACTGAGGTCCTTAAAGGAAAAGGCAGCCTCTTTTGCTTGGCCAAATGGCAAGTTTCACAGTGTTTTGCTAAATGCAATGTAACCTCATTACAACTTTGTTTAACAACTTTCAGTTTAGACAAAGATGGATGGCCTAGTCTAGCATGCCAGACATTAAAGTCCTGGTGATCAAAATTAAAAACTTTTGAAAATCCTTAGAGGCTCCAAACTCCTGACTCCTGGACTCTGAAAACAGGTAAAGACCTCTATCCACTTGGGCTAAACCAATCCTCCTCCGAGTAATAAGGTCCTGGATCACACAAAAGTTGGATTTAAAAGTCAATGAGACTGGATGGTTTTTGGTTAACTTGCTTACAGAAACAAGATTGTAAGCAAAAGAAGGAATAAAAAGAACTTGAGTGATGAACAGTCCACAAGGCAAAGTCACAATCCCTATATGTGTGGCTTGTACCTGTTGTCCATTTGGCAAGGCTCACAAACACATCATTCAAAGGACTATGTTTCATGAAGTACTTCTTATCACATATTATGTGATCTGTAGCTCCAGTGTCCAAACCCCAAACAGTGCTACGAGGTGTATCAAGCATAGAGGAGAAAGCTTGTTTACCTGAGAAAGAAGAAGAGTAAGAAGACTGGGTTGGTACAGAACCAACTGGTTTTTTGCCAGCACTGGAAGACTGTGGACTTCTGACTGCTACAGCTGCAGTACGAGGTACTCCAGGTGAGTTTGGTGGTGATGGTGATGCAGAAGGTGATCTGGCAAGCATACTCTTAAGCTGCTCAAGTTGATTAGGAGTGAGCAGATTCATTAAATCCCCCTCTCCTTTTGCTCCATTATAGGCAGTAGTGTGTGTACTACCACCTTCCTCACTTAAAGAAGTCTCAATTGAGCCAGCAAAAGGATGCTCATTATCTTTACTGTTTTTGTTCTTGAGCTTGTAACACTTATCGATTGTGTGAAAATCCTTCTTACAAAAGCTGCACCACTTCTTACCATCCTTGTAATCCCTAGGATTCTTTCCACATTGCCCCCTGTACCACCTTTAGCCTGCCTGTTCTATTGTCCTGCCATTAAGGCCAGAGAATCCACTCTCCCCTTATCTGCATTCATACCCTTCATTTGCCTTTCCAACTGGACCATCTGCTTGAAAACCGATTCAATAGGTGGCAGTTGAGAATTCATCAACACTTGAGTTCTTGCTGATTGGTAAACATCATTCAGTCCTTGCATGAACTTAATGATGAAGTCATGCTCCTAATACCTTTGAATCGTAAAGAAAGGGCTGTTGGGGCAAGGGAAACATGAAACAGGTTTGTACATCTTGTATTCTTGCCACTTAGTTGTCAAAGCAGTATAATATTGAGTAACAGTGAGGTTACCCTGAACACATTTTCTAATCTATTCATGCAGCTCATAAACCCTCATATTATCTGCTTGGTTGAATCTGTCTTTCAGATTGTCCCATACATCCTTTGCTACTTTGTAGGGAACCACGCTATTAGCAATATCATCTGAAAGAGAGTTGTAAATCCAACATCTAATAGTACTGTCGCATCTATGCCAGGACTGCCAAATCGTATCTCTTATTTGAGGCACAGGAATCAATCCATTCACGAATTGAAGTTTGTTCTTAGTGTTAAGAGCAAGCTCCATTACCTGACTTCAGAGATTGTAGTTCTGATCAGTCAGCTTCATCAAAATAATGGTTGTTAAACCCCATCGTGAGGAGGAAGATAATAGGGGTTGAGATATGGGTCTTCGTAACGAGGAACCACTGGAGGGATAAATTGATCCATTTGACGTCGAGCATTCACTCCTTGAGGGGTTCGTGGTAGAGTGGCGTCATTTGCTGAAGCAACGTCTTCTTCAGTCTCCACTTCATCAGCTACAAACCCATCAATTTGTGGATCTGGATTCGACATTTTGGATCAAGAAAAAGGTAAATTGGTAGAACATAAACCTGGATCTGGGTTAGCAAAGCCAACAAGGCTCTGATACCATGAGAAGAAAAGGAAATTGCGAGGATTTTTTGTGAAGGTTCTCAAAAACTGAGAGCTTCGTTTTTTGGTTTTCCATTTATATACCCAACACTCTGTACACCAGGAAGAAAGACCTAACGGCTAATACACAGTAATTAACTAACAACTAAAATGAACCAATCAAAGTGCGACAGGTGTCCATAAGACACAGATCTAATAGCTGCAATAAACAGATTAAGAAGGACGGCAGCTTTTCGCGCATCTCTTTCTTCTCTCAAAGGAACGACTTGCGTTTTAGCCCAGACTTGTCTTTGTTGCTGGGGTAGAACGCCGTCGTTTCTCCTAGTCAGTATTTCTTGATTGCAGCCTTCATTTGTTGACAGCATCAGCCACTCAATCTCATTTCTTCACTTCAATCCAGTGCTGCTGCTGTCTTGGTTCATTCCTCTATTACAGGTGGTACGTAACATACTACCAAGTCCCTATGGAAGGCTTGGCAGCCTGATGGTTTCACCCCGTCGCGTTCCAGCTGGTTGAAATGGCTGTCTTGGAGGACTCTCGGTCATTCAGTCAGTTTCAGGTACACGTCGACTAATCGCTGATTAGTGACCCCAGCACTCCAGCAGGTGAGGGTTGGACCCGAAATTGAGATGGGCTCTTCCCACTTCAACCCTGCAATTTGATCGACGGCCCGGGGGGGTGGGTTCATTGTGTTAAAACTTTGAAACTTGAACGAATGGGCTCTCAACAAGTAGAAAGAGCAAATTTCTTCTCTCTCTCTTCCTTCAATTTTCTTATTAAAATGGGAAAGAAAACAACAAATCCGAATTTATGAGTTACAACATTAACATTAGTATGTGATATAAGATTTGTTCTCTTAACAATTTGAATTGTTGGAATGAATTGGTTCTTGACATGGTATAAGAATCTTCTATAATCGAGAGATTTTATGTTCGAATTCTGACGAGTAACGACCCCATTAATTAAGCGCATGGTATTCCATCATGTACAAACTTAAACACCATATGAGTGACTTTCGAGTTATTTGATACAAACTAGTTCTTGACACACACGACAAGATTGACATGAAATTTTGATATGGAGTCTTGAAAACAAGCATATCATATCAAACCTAACGTCAATGACAGATCCTTATCTCCCCGTGTTTCTTGTTTTTCGATTAGCTTTGATTGATAATCACTGTCATTATTTTTGGGTTTGTGCATTTGGCATGTTTTTTATTTGATAATTTGACTTGGTGGGATTTGTGATGGGTTTGATCGTGTTGACTATCCACCATGGTTGTCATGTTCAGTGGCATATAGGTCTGTTGAACCTAGTTTAACCGTTGTCGGTCATGAAACTGGCATAAACATCATTGGTGGCGGTATGACTTGTATGATTGATTTACTAACTCTAAGTAAAATGACGTCGTTTTAGTAAACTTGATTGATAAAAAATGAATTTATCATGTGTCTTATGAATGTAAAAGTTAAAATTTGATGTAATTCGTTGGATTCAGATATAAACGTTTAGATATTGACATCAAATGTTGTATTTAAATATGAGTATTTATTATTTTATTTAGAATGTCATATTTTATTAAGTCTACATGAACCGGCACAAACCTGTTGTACCACTGGTCGTACCATTTCACTTGCTAAAACCGACACATCGGTATAAACCGCTTTGACAACCTTGACATCCACCCAATCCGATCCAATAAACATCAGCAAGATTTTGATTTTGTGAGTAGGTTTTGGTTTAGTGTTCTTGAAATCGAATCTTGATTTTGTGAGTAGGTTTTGGTTTAGTGTTCTTGAAATCGATATCTATGGATTGAATGGTGAAATTATAGGGGTGTTCAAATGGTTATCATGGTAATTACCAAACCAATAAGTATAAATTCTATTAAACCATGAAATACAATATCATAACCAAACCGTCCAAACTGATACAACAACCAATTAACCAAACTAAAGTTTAATCGGTTTGGTTGATTGTTAACCAAAATAACCAATATACCACCACATTATCATTAAGTGAGAAAATGTTCTAGTTAGTGCATCAATTTGCAATTTATATAATGAATAACACATAACAATCAACAAATAATTATAGTTAACCCTTAGCATAAATACATCTAACTAATACAATTATCTTAAATTTGACTCTTAACTCTTAAGTAGTTATGCAAAAGTATTAAGTATGTGCGTATAATATATAATATATATGGCTAATTACTTAACTGGTTAATTTGGTTTGATTGGTTAACAATGTATGAAACCAAACCAAATCACCTAAACCAAACAAGCTAAAAAATTTAACCAAATCAAACGAAATATTCAAATTAACCAAACGAAATTATTCAAATACTATCATTTAATACGATTACCATGATAACCACACCATTTAAACTTTCAACACCCCTAGTAAATTAGCACAAAATCCACCCATCGGATCTACATAAACCTACCCACCCAACCCCTGGACGACGAGCAGCACAAAATCACAGGTGGGCCAGTTCTGGGTAGTTTCGGAAACAAGGAAAAGATCTAGAGAGAGGGAGAGGGGGGAAAATGCCCGCTTTTAGCAAGCTGGGCGTTCCGGAGTTGAGTTCTCACTTCTCAGCCTCTCTGGTTTTGATTGTTGGCTGGCGGGATCGCCATGGCCTGGCCTCGTAACAGCATTAAACATAAAAAACTCCGCCAAATATTTTATTTTCATCTAATTTTAATTATTTCCTCACGCATTTAAATATTGGAATTTCCATTTTTCCTCAGCTAACATTTCCTCGCAGCGGTGCAGTTCCTTTCCCCCTCTTTTTTTCGCTCCTTCGCCATCACCAACCATCGTCTCCTGATTTCTGTTGACTCTCCTGGGAAGGTGCTTTCTAGGGTTTTCGGCTGCTGCTGCTGCCGCTCGGCGCCAAAACCACCAAAAATAGAAAATGGCTTTCTCCAGTCTCGTCAGATCCGCCGCCGCCGCACCTCTCGCCGATGCAGCTTCCCGATCCACCCTCTCCCCTTCCTTCTCCTGCGATCGCATCAAGGTAGAACCCTATGCCGTTTGCGCTTTTCCCCCATTTGGCTTCTACCTCTTCCTTCTTTTATCATATCGGGTGCAGTTTGTATTTTTGACCGGCAAGTAAAACGAAGAAGAAAGCTAGGATCTTGCTCCGGCGGTTTTGGTCTATTCTTTCACGATTTCGATACTCTGGTTATTTAACGACGAGCTCTTTCAATCTGTGGTGCGAGCTAGAATACTGTATTCTACCAACCTGCTTATAACTGGTGACTATTTTTTTCCTTAGGTTTCTAGCGTTGGCTTCTCTTCAAAGGGCGTCTTCGGTACCCCGGTTCCAACTACCTCGTCTTCATTCCAGTTGAGCCATTTTTGTTTGTGTTTATGCTCTCTGCAATCGTTTATTTTTCCCAATGATCTCTAGTTCACTCGATGTGTTCGTCTTTTCCAGGACTCGCACTGGAAGAAGTATTCAGCCCATCAAAGCCACAGCTACTGAAATTCCTCCCACTGTTCTGAGTAAGACTCGCCATCTTTCTTTGTAGCATTTGACTCTTTTTCCGAATTTGGGATTGGGTGCTCACATTGTTCATTGCATCGTCTGGCCCATCTGAGCTTTTCCCAGAATCTCGGACAGCCGGGAGGACAAAGATTGGGATCAATGGTATGTTCCCGTGCTTATATTTGCTAACTTATGCTCGCTTCTGCCTTTTGAATTGCCTGGAGCTATTTCTTTGTTGTGCATACAGAGTGCTGGTATCTGCTATGATTTCTGTTAGAGCTTGGAATAGAAGAAGATTATTTATGAAAATCAGATGCTGGAACAATGGGTTGCAACGTTAACTGCTTCTGTTTATGAGTAGAAGCTCTGAAACTGTTAATGGACATATGATACTTTTGGGGCCTAGCCATTATGAAATAATTATGTCCTCTTGTAAATGAGCATAGAAAGATGGTCTGACATAGCATAAGTGAACGACTTCTACCTTATAGTTTCTCATGGTGTGTCTCCTGGATATAGTTTTCTGGACTCTGACTAATAGCATGACCGGGCTAATGCAGGGTTTGGTCGTATCGGAAGATTGGTTCTGCGTATTGCCACATCTAGGGACGATGTGGAAGTGGTGGCAGTCAATGATCCTTTCATTGATGCTAAGTACATGGTAAGAATTGGCTGAGTAGCTAATAACATTTCTGTTGTCTACACTAAAAATGAAAAAAACCTCTTCAGTGATGGTTAAATTGTTTAATACTGGGTTGTTCTCTGAAGTGTGTGCCAAAATATTTCATTTGAAAAAATTGAGGATATGCTGGCATGAAAATGGTTGTTCCTGCATTGGGATCAGAAAGCAAAACACATCTTTCATTTTATTCGAAAATAAATTATGAGTCACTGTCTTTCTTTCATTGTGTGCAGGCTTACATGCTCAAGTATGATTCTACTCATGGAGTTTTCAATGGATCCATCAGTGTTGTGGATGAGTCTACCTTGGAAATAAATGGAAAGCAACTCAAAATCTCTAGTAAGAGGTATTGGCTGGTACCTTACTCACCATTAGTTATAGCCTTATAGGATTTGTTTAATTTACATAGCTTCAAGCCCGAAGAAATCCCCTTGAATTGTGGAAAGCTTTTGTTTCAAATGTGGGTTTATCCAGTTAACCTTAAAAAAAATGTGTCTTCTGTTCAGGGACCCTGCAGATATCCCATGGGGTGATTTAGGGGCTGAATATGTAGTTGAATCTTCTGGAGTCTTCACAACTATTGACAAGGCTGCATCTCACAAAAAGGTTTGTAGTCTTTATCTGCCTGAATCTTCCAATGCTTTCAGTGGGCTAACTTGCTTTGTGCACCTTTTCTACATTTTATAAAGGGAGGTGCTAAGAAAGTGGTCATATCGGCTCCCTCTGCCGATGCGCCAATGTTTGTGGTCGGAGTCAATGAGAAGACATACCAGCCAAACATGGATGTTGTTTCTAATGCCAGCTGCACAACAAACTGTCTTGCTCCGCTTGCCAAGGTAGTACCTTTCCATCCTGAAACGTCTGTTTAGAATTTTGGGGTTGTCTGGGATGTGATGCTTCTGGGACAGGAAAATGTAGGGCGAGGAGTTTTGATTGTGATGCTAGTTTTGGATTGCTTAATGTCTTGCAGGTTGTTCATGAGGAGTTTGGTATTCTTGAAGGGTTGATGACAACTGTTCATGCAACTACAGGTCTCTCTTTAACTCTTTGCTTCTCTCTCTTGTGCTCCTCCCTATGTTTGCATGGATGTCAGTCAACTATATGAATCATGATGCTAACAGTCGAGTTCTCCTTGCAGCTACCCAAAAGACAGTTGATGGTCCATCGATGAAAGATTGGCGTGGGGGCCGTGGAGCTGGTCAAAATATCATTCCAAGTTCTACTGGTGCAGCAAAGGTATTGCTTCTCTGATTTTGAGCTTGGGTAGAGGAAAAGCTTCAATCCTTTTAGACAAAAAGAACAATACATATGTGACTAATTGTATTCATGGTCTTGTAGGCTGTTGGAAAGGTACTTCCAGAGCTCAACGGAAAGCTTACCGGAATGGCTTTCCGTGTGCCAACACCTAATGTCTCTGTTGTGGACTTGACTTGCCGGCTTGAGAAAGGTGCATCATATGATGATGTGAAAGCTGCTATTAAGTATGACCCAGTTGACCTGATTTGTACTATCCTATTCTCAATTTTTTATTTGGAAGGACTAAGTTTCGATTCTAACTTCTTGAAAGGTATGCATCTGAGGGGCCATTGAAGGGTATTCTTGGATATACTGATGAGGATGTCGTTTCCAATGATTTTGTTGGTGACTCAAGGTATGTTCCCTCTCTCTCTCTCTCGGTGTGATGTAGACAGGATGAAGTGGTATATTTGTTTGCTGCTTTTCTATTTAAAAGTAAACCTCCTTGTTAGAAGAGATGGTTCTTTTCCTCGTTACTATCGTTGGGATTCTGAAGGTGTATGTATTTCCAGATCAAGTATATTCGATGCGAAGGCTGGGATAGGGTTGAGCAATTCCTTCATGAAGCTGGTGTCTTGGTACGACAATGAGTGGGGATACAGGTATCGTACTTCTCTCTTGATCTCTTTCTTTGTTTCTTGTATGTGCCTATCTATTTTCACAAGTTGGGAATGATGGTGGTGCTGTCTGTTTTACCCCAGCAACCGCGTGCTGGACCTCATAGAGCACATGGCACTGGTGGCAGCACAGAAGTAAGATGGTGTTAGAGAGGGGAGGTTCTCTGCTGTAATTGCTCATGCTGCTGTGTTGTTGGTCGAAGGATAGTAGTTTGGGATTTGGTAGAGTGGTTTTCTTCCATTTTGGCGTGAGAGTTTTCTTTTTGTTGTTGATTTCAATGTCAAAGGCAAAAATAATTGTGTTGAATTGAACACATATTGACGTCAGTCAAGCTGGGACTGGCACATACTCTCTCAATGTACGAGAATTGAAGCATGGTGAACTGAGTTAGCCTCCTTGCTTCGGTCTAATTTGCTCTACAGCTTATATTATTATATGAAATGCCATACTGATTCAGGAGTTAATTTGTTCGGGAGTTAATTTGTTCGCATTAGACTTCTGCTTCATCGGGGCAAAGTAGGTTGGCTCTTGAGTATTGGTCTGTTAAGAGCCACAACAGATACATATATGTCATGTCAGTCCTGTTTGAGCTTCTGAACTTTCACAATCAAGAAATATGCCACGCAGCCAACTTCTGTAACTAGCCCAAGGGTTAGAGCCTCATCGTGAAGGTGATCTTCGAGACCCAAATTCGTGAAGAAAAAGAGTTGGTTGGCTTTTGGGTTATCTAACTTTGTAACCTTAATCGCTAACTTAGAACCTATTACTACACACACTGAAGTTGATTGAACCTATAAACCGGACGAAGGAAGGGACTTATATCAATGGAATGAATGCTTATCAATAGTATGATAACTATTATTTTTTAGTAAACACTGATTAAATCTAATGACTATTCATGGAGCAGTTTTCGATTTCTCTTGGGTGACGGTATGACGGAAGTGGTTAAAAAGGAATTTGGGCTTATAAAGTAGGTTTGGTCTTTCTAAAAAGCGACATCTCAGCCGTAGAATTTGATATCCAAAAGCAGGTAAAACATGACACAGATTAATATATATAAATATAAAATGTAGTTACTGTTCACTAAGAAATCAACTAATGTCAAATCTCTCGGACCTATTTTATTGGGCTAATAATATCCGTCTGTTGGGCTCCTGACCAGTTTTGAATTTGAGAATCACTATTACTAATTCTAGACCAGGAAACTGAGTTGGGTTGGGTTATTTCGAGTTGCGGGTTGGGTCTTTCAAATCCTTGTGAAATTTTTTAAACATTTCATTAATTTATGAGTGCTTTTATAATTTTGGGAGTGACATATGAAATGGAACGGGTCTAAAATGTCGACCTGCTAACCCACCCAACCTTACCCGAAAAATCACGGGTAAATTAGGTTCGTTTTATTCAGATTTTGGTTATAAAAGCTTATATTTTTTAGCGATCAACGAGTCAAGTCATAATTTACCAAGTTTGACTACTTCTCTATGTTATACGCCATAGTTTCCTTTTTTGCTCCCATAATACGACGTCATTCACAACCTCTACCGATAGACCAAGTGAGCAACGCAACCTAAAGCAATCGGACGACAATGATTTCGATGAGCGAGGAGATCCACAACTGCTGAAATAACAGTACCCCCGTCCTTCCGATTTGATTCTGGTTCTCGATGGGTCTTGCCTGCGGAAGGCCTTAGAATCCTAACTATAACCATGAAATTTTGTATGCGGTGAGATGCATGGGAATCCGTGAATGAAGTCGTATTATGGCAAATAAGAAAGAACAAAATCATAAAAAATATTGGATTAATGACACATAATTGGGCAACAAGAACTGCATCGTTTGTGTGTAGAATGAGGGACATGGCAACAAGAACCACATCGTTTGTGTGTGGCGCCCGTTTTTCTCACTAGGTTGGAGGTCATATAACGTCATCTTTGCCTAACCCTATCTTGCTAATTCTAAGTTGAACATTTTAATATGTTAGAAAGTGATATGTTACTAACCATATGTTAAATGAGATTTGATAAAATTTATAAATGTATGAAAAATATATAATGATTTTCATACATTCGGACTAAATGATCGAACCATTAACCATAAATCCACTTGATCGGCTGAACCAAGTGGCTAAACCGAATTGAGAAGCTTGCATATAGGGATGGCAATGGGTCGGGTCGGGCGCGGATAGTGCATATCGGTTACCCTACCCAAAGTGCTTCAGGTTTTATCCATACCCATACCCACATAAAAAATGGGTAGAAAATCAAAACCATGCCCATACCCATTTGGGTTTCGGGTATCCACGCTTATCCATGGGTAATAATTTCTCTTTATAATTTCAACCAATATGTTAACATTGACACAATTCTCACATTACATAAGAGGAAAAGTACGACAATGATTTACTAGAATGAAGAAAATTAATTAAAACAACACAATTTCATGAAAATATTATATTTATATGCTAAATATAAAATATGTTAGAGAAAAATTATGATTATTTATATACAAATACATTTGCATGTGTATAATCGGGCGGGTTCGGGTCGGATAGTGAGAAAACCGTGCTCACCCATTACCCGCAATATTCGGGTTCGGGTTTTACCCTATCCGATTAGGTCGGATTTGGGTGGATATCTACGGTACAAATATTTTTGTCATCCACTTGCATATTGAAAAAACAAAACCCCCAGCATAGGCGATTACTGTGCACCAAGAGACACTTCACTGTACATGCAGACTCATAAATACTATTTCAACTCGAATTATGCTCAGGTGTGGGCGGGTGTATGGTAGGCTCTGGTCGGTTTCTAACGCTCTCGTTTTGTTTGGACCATGATGGAACCTCTTGTTGGCAGGTCCGGGTGCATTTTTGTGGCCCTGGAGAGGCCGCATTGGTCAACGCGTTGTCTCTTGGTGTTCTCAATGGTACTTGAGAGGAAATCATAGATTAGATACTTTTGTGGTATACTTGACGTGTTGGATGCCACGTAGTTCTTTAGTTTCTGGCCACTCATTTTATCTAACTGGCTCAATTCTCTAGGAGGGCTACTAATTGTCGCCCTACTTTTCTATAATCGCCCTAATTATCAAGTTAAAAATTTCATATGTATCCTTCTCTTTTTCCGGTTGTTTTAATCCAAATAAACACATTCTATCCAAAAGAAATTAACCGGTTAACCTTAACTGCGCACCACCGCTACATGTCGCCACCACTGCCCGTCACTATCCTCTCCACCATACTACTCTGGCCACTGACAAATCAGGTAAAACCCTACCATCATATTCGGATGGAGGCGGCGAGACAATATAAATGAACCATTTTTCTTTCACGAAAGAACAAAATCCACCATCGGCAATTCATGATCGACGAAGGAACAAATTGAGAATCTACCCAATTGAAATATGAATCCCCAGCTCAATTAATGTTGGCAAATGGCAAATGTCACCAAGCATAATTGAATTTTTCTCTAAGAAAGGGGACGACAATGAGTGACCTGAAAACATGTAGGTCGGAGGGAGGGAGAGAGAGAAGGGTGGGAACCGATGGGGAAGGAGAGCCCCTGAAATTAAGCTGAAACCGGTTGTTGAGAGTTGAGACGGAATATGTGCAGTCGTAAGAAAAATAGGATGCCGGCGATGGGAATGGGTGATTGCAGAGGAGAACATCGTTGGCAGATTGGGTCTCCCAACAAAGGAATTGCTCTTTAAAATCCGCTTTGATTGTCATTTATTTTGTTGGACAATTACGTACTTTCACGTTTAAATTAGAGCGATAAATAATAAAACTAAGACGACATTTAGCCTTTCAGATTCTCTAGGCCTGCTTTTTTCACTCATTTGTTTCCGTCACTACTCACCACTCGCCAGAGATGCACTCTCTCAAGAGGAGAGAGATTGCAGAGATGGTGGGAATTTCACTCACCACTTGCCTTTTAGTTTCCTCTTTCCTTTCTTACGATTTACAATCCCTCTGCTGCACGCACAAATAACCCAAACTCTCAAATTCACAAGTTCTTGCCATTTACAATCTATTTGAACCAAGCAAAGGTATAACATAAACAAAAAGTTAAAAGACACTCAATTGGTTGTGAAATAAAAAATTTCCTATCATTTTCTCATATTACTCACTTTGATAACTGTATGAAGCTATGAAATCGTTCAAGCAGCAGCCTGACTGACTCGGCGTCAGGGATCCTCATTCTTTTTACCAGCTCAGATTCTTAGCACTTGAAGCAAAGAAACCAGAACTAGCAGTCAGTGTACCCAAGGACAAAAACATACTCATCAACGATAGCCATTTCGTACCATTAACTACGGAAGTGTCCATTATAAAAGCCGGAGAGCACAGAACACTGGAAAGAACTGCTGCGGTTATTATGTTGTGCAGCAGTCTCTTATTATTTTAGCTAGGTAGAAAGCCAGTCCGTCTACGAACTTGTGAATTTGAAGAGTCATACCTACTGTAGAAACAACAAAAAACATGATTCAGATTATATATAAAAAAAACCCACAGTAAGCATCGGCCGTATATCACACTCTGTACTTGCTACAACACATCGGACTTAGCAAGCATGAAGTTCAACAAAATGGGAGGGCCGGCTAGAAGACAGTGTATGGCTAATCAAAAGCTGAAACATGAGCAAACAGGATTTTATATTTGAGTAGTATTCCAACTATCTATAACTGGTAAATAAATAAGAAACCATATTTCTAATGTGTGGAAAAATATGTCCAAAAGAGCAAGAAATATGGCACAGAAGACATAAAAGTGCTGTTGAGCTCCTGAAGTCACAACCAGCTGTTGGCCATTCATAGAGATGTAAGGTAAAAGCTGAAACATGGGCAAAGTTACTTTCCTACCGGCATAGAAGTTTGTTGCTAGGTCTGTACGGATATCGATTTAATACTGCAGGAATTTCTTAACTCGGCTAATTACGCACCATACAGACATTACCGTGACTAATCCATAAAAACTAGAGGTCAAAGCCTTATCCATGGGATAAACGAAGATCAGAAAAATTCTCTCCTAAGACCTCATTAAGGAAAAAAAGAAGAAGCTGAAAGATGTAAAGTGGCAAATAAGAGAAGCACACCAAAAGAGGGCCTTCAAACCACGACTCAGTTCCCTGAGTCAAAGTAGGAGTGAATGGAACACGTTGCTTCGGGTGTGGGTTCAACAGAAGTTACAGCCATGATAAGGAAATAGAAAACAAATCCTATCAAGCCCTTGAATCAAAGAATTCCAACAGTTACACCAACAGTGATTGACAGAGACCTCCGACTGCCCAAAAAGTGAACATGTTAGATACAGATACAGCAGGAAAGAGCTTCTATTCTATGCAATAACGCAACCATGAGCCATTCACCACTACGAGCTGAATCCCAATGCAACAATATATTCCTCTGGCACGGAGTTGATGGCCGATAAGGTGGCACTCAGAAAGAGAACAAATTTGTGTAGCCAACCTTTGTCCTCTCTATTTCCTCAAACCCTTACCAATTAAGAGTTTTTGTGCCTCAAGTCTAATCACCCAAAATAGTTCGCGAGTGATACATTCAACAAAGAAAAGCCAAGAGCCTAAAGGAAATGCAGAATTCATTCTAACCAGTAACCACGACTACCCCAAGAAGTTCACAAGCATGAGTTATGCAATGCGCTACAACCTGGATATAGACAGAACTCCTGAACCTTAAGAGGTAACCCATCTCAGTGCGTACTGAAATCCGCACTAGATTCATGAAATTACAGTGTGTGAGTGCTTGGATGTAGGGATGGCAATTTCGACCTGGCTCGTTTTACCCGACCTGTTTGACCTGTTTTGGGGCGGGTCCGACCCGCCCCGAAGGCGGGGCGGGGCGGGCATGGGTACTCTCATCGACCCGACCTGTCCTGACCCGCCCCATTCTCGACCCGTTCTTGCCTAAATTACACGTAATTTTAGTCAAATTACTTAGGATTTCCATTTTATTACATAAAATTTTAGTTATAATAAAGATGTAAATTAGTGAAAACCTCAATTTCTCCAATAATTATACTAATATTTATCATAATATTGTTTGTTTCCTTGGTCTTATAATAAAAATAATGAATATTTCTAATATTTTTCATATAAATTGCATACCCATTGGGTCAACCTGCCCCGACCCGTGACCCGTGATAAATTACCCGACCTGGACCCGACTTGCCACGGGGCGGGTCTGGGTACCAAGAAACCCGACCCGGACCTGCCCCATTGCCATTCCTACTTGGATGCAATCTAATAGTGAGTGTCTCAATTAAGAATACCTTCTTCCTATTCTCTCATGCAGAGAACGTGGGAGAAAATTTATAAATGAAACCAGGAAAAAAAAAACAAAGAGGAGTCAAACTCTGTCTGCCTCATTATTGATACAGAAATATGACAATTTGTAGGAAACCTATTTTTAGGGTTCCAACGATTGTGTCGGGAAATTGGGAATTGGTAGAGATTTAGGGATTGAGAAGAGAATTAGGGATTAGGAACAGAATTGGGGAAGAACAGAAAGAACGGCCGAGGCCTCTAGAGAGGAGGATAGACGAGATTTGAGAGAGAAAGAGATTAGGGTTTTGGGAAAGGATGACTTTTCTATTAATTTCTGCTTAATATGACGAATGACCCAAAGTACATATATAGGGAAATACTAGAAAACCCTAAGAATAAACCTAATTCTACTAGAAGACTACTAACCATAATAAGAAATATCCTAATAATAATTATAACCATAAATATAGAAACCCTAAAGAAATCGGTTTCTAACATCTCCTCCCTCTTCAAACCAACCTTGTCCTCAAGGTTGCAGTTAGCTACGCGGACGTTCCACACTTCCATTGCGATCCCTCGACGTAGTTGCATCATTTTCTTTCGCTTCCTCCTCTTCCAATTCCGATCAAGCACTCGAACAATACTCTTGGCACAAACAACTCTCGCAGTCGACCCCACCGTTGCCTCTGTTGTTCGCATATGCTCTCGTATTGCAGCTCGAAGTCTTTCCGCCGAGGCGATGAGATTGGGTGCAAGGAGGTCTCGCAAGTTGCCACATCTCTCTCGTCCTTTCCCTTCTGCCATCCTCCTCCACAAACAGCCATCCACCATCAAAAGCTCACATAATCCCCTTTCCTCCTGTATACCTCCTCCACGTGACTTGGCTTTGGAAGCCTTGTTGCAAATGGTCACGCCCATACATGGGCCATCCAACCCTCGCCCCTCAAACGATGTGATAAGAAGAAGAAGAAGCTCACTGGCGCCTACCTCCTCATCCCTCTCCGGCGAAGGCTTCTTCGCCTCGTTCGTTGGCGCTTCGACCGGCGGCTCCTCCTCTGCAGATGCCCCATCGTGCTCGTTCAGCCGCGATGCTTCGGTCGTCGCCGCCACGGCATCGACCGACTCATCCTTCTCCCGCGACGCAGGTAGCAACGCGACCTCACCCGGTTGTTCCATTCTGACTTGGCGCTCGTTCTTCGCCTCCACGTACGGTTGCTCTGCTCGCATCTCAATGTCACCGTGTGAGTCAACCTGCACAACCGGCGGTTGCTCTTCTCCTATGGAAGCATCCCCGGTCGGCAGCTCCTCGGAGCTCCAACGACGACCGATGCGCCGAGCCCGTTCACGCAGTTCTGCCCACGACATGTCCGAGAGCCTTGAAGAGCTCATCGTCGAACCGGTTGTAGAACTCGTCCCCGGTTGAGAGTTGTGAAAAACTCAATTCTCGAAACCGGGCTCTGATACCAGATGTAGGAAACCTATTTTTAGGGTTCCAACGATTGTGTCGGGAAATTGGGAATTGGTAGAGATTTAGGGATTGAGAAGAGAATTAGGGATTAGGAACAGAATTGGGGAAGAACAGAAAGAACGGCCGAGGCCTCTAGAGAGGCGGATAGGCGAGATTTGAGAGAGAAAGAGATTAGGGTTTTGGGAAAGGATGACTTTTCTATTAATTTCTGCTTAATATGACGAATGACCCAAAGTACATATATATAGGGAAATACTAGAAAACCCTAAGAATAAACCTAATTCTACTAGAAGACTACTAACCATAATAAGAAATATCCTAATAATAATTATAACCATAAATATAGAAACCCTAAAGAAATCGGTTTCTAACACAATTAGAGAATAAGATTTGCCTGGTACAATGAATTTAAAGCTACTTAAAGTTAGGTGTCCATATATCGTCTAGGACAGGCAACTCAAGGCCTGCAGGTATTCTCTTATCAAGAAGAAGAAAACAATGCATACCGTTACTGCAGGAGAAGACAGCAACTTTAGTTGATGTTCTTTGATCACACACCTGTTACCTGTAAAAGAATTTGCAGAGCATCAGCCGAGTGACTCAATGTTGGAGCCTCATTCCACTTACTACCTCATACTCTTTGCAGCGCTAGAAGCAAAGAAACCAGAACTAGCATATGTTGTTTTCGCCATTCAACACATGATTCTATGTGGAATCTGACATAGTGGGCTAAACAAACTGTAGGCTATTGTGTTGAAATGGTCGATAACAAGACCTACCTCTTACCATCAACTGCAGGACTCTCAAGAATATAAAAAGCAGCTATTACAAAATGATAGAACGAACTGCTGCAGATATAATGATGTGCACCAGCGGCACAAAAGTGATCTTCAATATATTTATCAGCTCAAAGAGACTGTAGGAAACCTAAAGAAGTAACGAACACATGCTCACCCATAATAAACATAGGAAGCATACGACATTACATACTTGCTACGGGCCATCAATCACACAAGTAAGCATGATTTGAATGGGGAAAACATTTCATGTTTGCTATCTGCCTTAATAGAGGCTAAATAAGCCATATTTCATCTTTGATCATTATCACATTTGCTTCACAATTCGACAATACTGCTTCCAGAAAAAGGAAACAGAAAATCTCTCCACCTAAAGCTTTAGTGGATTACAGAAATCGGACACCTCGCCTCTTCGCCAAAGCCTTCTGTTACTACATACATGGCTGGAAGCCAATGAACTCAGTCTACCGCTCTTAAGTTCTCAATAGACGTTGAGCATTCTGATACAAAACTTAACTTGGCTAAGAGAATGGGCAAGGGTAGTGGACCAAAATTCTCAACTCAAAGTAGGCAGGCAGGATGAGGATATGACCACTAAAAGCTTGTATCAGTTCCAATGGATCAAGATCCCCGAAAAATCACAAACTAGATTGGGCGTTTACCCCTGTTGCGTATTGTGGTCCAAGTCCAAAGCTTTCTCCCAGTCATCTGCCACTTCCAGCTGCTCGGACGAAGGTCTTATTACTACTGAATCAAGACGAGCCCCACCTCGATCCTCAATTCTAACCACTGATGAAGCAGCAGCAGTAGTGCTGGAAGCCGTCTCAGTGTCTAGAATGCTCCAGCGATTAACCGAAGCAGTAATTTCAGAAGTAGCTTCCTTTTGTTTCCAAGGAGAAGAATCACTGGATCCGCTAGGCTGCTCTTCACCACCCCAAACATCTTCACCAACAGCCTTTTTCCATGCATTATTTCCCTTCATTGCTGAATTCACTCCATCCTTAGGGGTACTCCATGCGTTAGCTGCTGCACCATTGTTCTGAAGAATCACGACGACACTATGATAAGCAGACGCATGATCCAACCTCCTAAGGGCGGTTGCTGCACGAGCAGGATCATTGAAAACTGCCAAAGCATTCTTATCATTCAACCATATCAGCTCACACTCCCCGCCAAATCTAAGCACCAAAGAGCTTATGTCCGACTCCCTAGGCAAATCAAGGAAAGAAACAACGAGCCTGGGATCCATGTCAACAAGGGCGTCAAAAGCAAGTGGGTGCAGACATGTGGCAGCAGTCACCCCTTTGACACAAATCACACGTTGTGGTGGTCTGGACTTGGGAATTGCATGAAGAACAACAAATCGCTTGGGTTCCCACCCAGCAGCATGGATTGCTAGCTTCCACCTCTCCGCAATCAGCCTAATTGCATCTCTCTTGTCCTTCAGCATCGGGCAGAAGACATGAACCTTGAGACCACCGCCCACAGTTACCCCCCTGTGCTTACCAAGGACAAGGCACTTGCACCTCTCTTCGACAGCAAGAACCCATTTTGGATCACGCCTATATAAATCCAAAAGCAACTCAGTAACAGCCGAGTTTTCGCCAAAATGAAGAGCATCCAAGTTGGGGGTATTAATGTCAAAAGCATCAGCAAGAACCTTCTTACGTTCTGACTTAGCACATTCTTCATCACAAGTAAGCTTCCTTTGGCTAAGTGGAATCTTCTTACTACCAGTTGCTGATTCCACTTGCTGAAGTGGTGCTGATAGCTTCTGGGCTATTGAAGCTTCAAAAACTGTATCAGCACTGAAACCACCACTTGTCCCTCCGGCATCACAAGGAACACTGGCTGTTATCCTGCCACATGAGCAAGTAATTGTGACTGGAAACTCACATCTGACATCGGGGCAAGGAACAGCAGGATGACAAAGTGCAGCACAAGTATGCCTACAGTCCCTTCTGGGGGCCCCACATATCTGGCGACAAGAAGCTCTCCCTGCCTCTACTTCAGAGGAAGGTGAAGAGTCGCACGGTGCTGGATGACAAGTCCGCCCGCATGCATGAAGACCACACTGCCTAGTTTTACCACAGAGCTTGTTGCACCTTATATTTTTCGAACCACAAGGTATATTTTTGAGAAACACATGTCCGCCAACACACTCCTTTGCAATAGGGACAGAACAAGGCGGACAGTCTCCATGGTGGCAGTTATGAGAAGCCGCATGACCACAAGGCCGAGGAACCGAACAGGGGAGTTGACATGATGGTAGCGTTGTACCACAGGGCAAGGGGGGAGGGATTGAAGTCCTTCCACATGCACAGCTCAGATCAACAAAGATTGTCTCAAGACAAGGAGGGCAATGACCACTGTGACATAGTGACTCACAAGAATGCAGGCCACACCTCAACTTCTTGCCACAGGCCATTTGGCATAAGTGTGGATTCCAATCCTCAGAGAAAGAAGCAGTTGAGTTGTTAGAAAGAGGGCAGCAACGTTCGCTACACCGATGTCTCCCACAATTCTTCTTTCGTCCGCAAGGCTTGTCACACTTGAACTGTTCATTGATATCACATGTTTTGTAGCAGGCCACAGTTCTCGAGGAAGATCCACAACAACAATTTTGGGTGACATCAACCATACAAGGAGGGCAATCTCCAGAATGGCACAGGTCCCTACAGTTGTGAACCCCACAGGAAAGTAGCTTGCCACACACCTGCATACAGTTAGGGATTCGGTCCAAGCAACACTTCCTTTCCTCCACCAAGCTCGTCTTCCCACAATAACAAGATTTGACCCTTCCTGGCATCAAATCACAATCTCCACAAGGACCTGGATGACATACTTCAGTACATTCATGGTTAGTACAAGCAAGCATCTTCTCACACATGAAATTGCATGAAAAGACACCTCCTTCGACATTCACCTCTCCCTTCACAGACATGTCTCCGCATAATATATCCTCCTCTTTTTTCTTGCAAAAACATGAAGCTGTAACCGGAACTTTGCACGGATCACAAGGACCAAGATGACAAATCCGTTCACAACGATGACGCTGACAATCGAGAAGCTTATCACATCGCTGACCACACGTGAGAACAGATTGACGTTCAGAGCACCTAGTGGTGATGGTGCTCTTCCCACAAGGGCACAAGCGTTGTGGAGCAAATGATTTGCAAGGTGGGCATGGACCTGGATGGCACTGCAACACACAGACATGAGGGCAAGAATTCTTATTATTACTCTCTAAGTTGGTGCCTGGCAAATGCTTCTCGAGGGGCTTCCCACATGGCTCACCACATGAATGAGGAGTCAAGTACAAATCAGAGGGTGGATCTGTTCTTTTCCCGCAAAAGCAAACATAACGAATCTCTTTCATTGGTGTCAGCTGCACGTACTGGCAGCCCGGGCAGCGCCAGTTAAAACCCTGGTTTTTATCGGCAGACAAGTCGACGGAAGTAGGAGCCCTAGCCCATCTCTTGATACAATTGAGATGAAAAATGGAGTAACAGCTGGAACAAGACCAAATAGGAGCAGACCTTCGCACCATATCATAACAAATCATACACTCAACAGTGCTCTTTGCAAGTTTCTCCTGAATTTCTTGCACCAGTTGCGGCATATTTGCATACTTCAACTCTTTCAAAGTTTGTGGCTGACCCTTCTCCCTTTCCTTATCCCTCCTGTGGTTTGTGGGGCGACCCACATGATTCCGAGAAGAATTACTGATGCCTCGGGGTCTGGGTTCAGAAGCAACATAATTACTGGTGCCACTTTGTCTTGGATCCAAAACAGCTGGATTACTGGTGCCTCTGTGTCTTGGTTTAGGGACAGCTGAATGACTGGTGCCTTCATCGATATTGGAAATGAAAGTTGGAGGAGGTAGATTTACAGAAACTGTGGAGGGGCCTTGTCCTCTGGGAACCCAAGTCTGGCGCACAGTTTGAGAGGGTAATCTAGATCTGTCCCTTCTATCGCTTCTGGTTTGGGAGCTCATATCTGGCTCTGAGCTGACTTCCAACAAGCAATCAGACAGCACCAGGACTTCAAAAGAAACCGACGACACTGGAACCTACACATAAATGATTGCAACCATCAGTCACCTTTGATTTGATGCAACGAATGATCAAAATCAAAACTATCACCGAGTATAACATTATCAGAATACCACCCAAAGTAATGGATAAAATGGGACGTCGTACAGCTGAGTAACCTCCAAAATGGGGGCAGATAGGCTACGTAAACATTCTGTGTACCCCCTCTCAAAAATAAAAACAGATTCCAGAAGTAAACACAGGCTGTATACATTCTCCACTAAACTAAATATAAGAGACCAATAATGCAAGTTACGAGCTCTAGGTGGATTTACGAACACCTCCGATTCAATTATACTAATATCAGACAGCCTACTACCGACAATCGTAAATTGAATAACACACGATATTGAAATCAAGAAACCGAAGAGCGAGATCATAAAGCACTAATGATAGTAACCATCGCAAATTCATAGAAACCAAGCATAACCACTTGATCTTTAGATATGAACTCCGATCGAGCGCATAAAGCCAACGGGTTGTGCATGGTTTCCTCATTACATCCCTTTGATTTGAAACGGGCTTCATTTGGGACTGACACTCACTCGTCGCTCTTCCACTTCCATCCATCTCGTTTCTCCAAAAGCCCGTTTGTTAAGTAGCCATTGAGTGATTAGAAGCCGAACTACTGGAATGTTGTAGCAAATCAAATAGAACTAGAATCAATACCCACGCTACGCCGCGGGAAATGTAGTCGTGTTTTGTATAAGTAAAAACAGTATAGGTATAACGAAATTGTTAGAAATGATATACAGAAAATAGTATTATATGTTTTGCTAAAAAAACTAAGAAATTTAAAAGCTTCTTCTGGCTTTGCAACTTCATGTTTCAGGTATATGCCAATTCTGCCATGAATTTCTTCTCCTTCACTTCTTTCTTTGGTTTGTTCTTCTGGTCTGGACTTCATTTCCGAAGTATCTTTTTGGACTCTTCTAATGCAAATACAATCCAAATTCCTTCTCAGAAAGAAGACTGATCAAAATCAACATTTTTTTGCCAAAAAAGAAAACTAAGAGAACATGAAGTAAGCGCCTCAATAGAGGAAGAGTCTACTAAGCATCTCCAAGTATAAATTAACTCAAATGTTACTTGAAGTTTGGCATGGGAAACCTGCCTAGAACCCATTAAAACAGAATACCTACAAATTGCAGATGCCAGGAATAGTTATACATTGGGCAAAATTAAATCCAGAATTGACAGCATAAGAATTTAAACCCTTTCCTCTAGAATGATAAAGAAAGCAAAGTTGCAACATCAATATTGGTAATGGCACTTTCTAATTCTGCAGCAACTTGAAGTGGCATGAACCTTCACTTCAGCTAATATAAATTTCAGACCAACATCGTGCATAATAATGCAAACGAAAATTTTGACAAATTTATGGAAGCACATTGTAGAATAAAATAAGCAAATGAACAAAGCATACCAACAAGTGTTGTTGGTACGGCTACTCATGTATGTTGTTACTGCGAACTGCTGCCACTTCTAGAAACAAATGCATGCACTGAAGTTATATAAGGTAAGAAGCACAAAGCACAACCCATAAAAAAGCCGCGAGCAGCATCAGGAAACCAAAACGGGAAGCCCAATGATGAAGGATGACAATTAAGAGGAATTGAAGTTACCTCGTTGAATATAAGACTAAGCCTCTTCACCAACTCCTTAACCATGTTCCTCTCTCATCAAAGTGAGTAAAGCAGCTTCCCACCACTCAACATCAAAGCAAGAAATGAGGAGAATGAACTAACACAAACTCACAGTAGAGGGCAAAGTACTGACATGAGCAAATGGGAAATCAGCAATGGATAGAGTTTGTACCATTATTCAAGGGCTTACCTGCTTGTTGTAGGCAGAAATCACAGATGAGTAAACCACCTTTGTCAATCGAAATTTTGAATCCACCATTTTCCCCAAAAAAAACTCTATAGCTTGGCTGCATTTTGACATCTTGCAGCACCCACTTATGAAGACTTTATAAGTAACAGAATCAGGCAATACTTTTCTTTTTCCTATGGATCAAAACAATGCAACAGACTTGTCATGTTCCCCAACATTCATATACGCAGGACAGTCAAGAGGAAACTCAATAGTTCAACCTGGATTACAAAGAGGGAAAAGAATGCAAGTTAGAAACTAAAGCATAAATATGCCATCGAGATTTCAGAAAATGATTCCGCAGTTACAAATTGGTTTACTCTGCATTCCTAAGGTCAACATCAGCGAAAGGTAGGAAAACCCCAAAAGTAAACTGGACCAAACCAAAATGGGAACCTTAATATATGAAACACCTGCTCGCGTCGATCCTATGTCCCTCTATATCTCAATTGAATTTCTTTGGAGATGCGATTCAAAGAGATGAACAAAAACCAGTTTTATGTGATTATAGAAGTTGCTTAGAACATAGCTGCAGTGTAAATGAAAAGGTTAGGAAGGATGATTGATAACAGTTGATTGCGAGATACATATGGACATAGTAAGTTTACCTTTTGTGAGTAATTCCAGGTCCAAGTTCAAGCATTATACACCACCATGGGAACTGTCAACAGAGAATAAATACTTATTTCAGCCATGAACACTAAAACATGGTACCTATAGTAGACAAAAGAGACATCATGAAGACAAACTTCACAACAAAGATGATGATTAAATAGAAATCCAGCATAAATATACAGCTCTAGTGCCACATATGGAATGGAAAAAGTGAGAGGTAAAAGGTCAAAACAATTCTTGTATGTATCAAAGGGCCATTCCTACCAAACCTGCACATTTTTTTTTTTTTTTTTTTGCAAATCCAGCATAAATTATCCCCTGACAACAAAGAAGCCAACTGATATCATCCCATCAGCTAAAAACATCAGATATACATCGTCTGAATGGAAGACCGGAATGACGACCTGTGGATTCTCGATGACGATTACGCGGCGGTGGGGGGGGGGGGGGGGGTGCGACGGGATGATTTCGAGGTCCAGGTCGCTGTACAGCTTCAGGGGAGGCGACGACGGAGGTGGGTTTTTCGCGGGGTCGGAGGGCGGGGGTGAGAAGATGGAAACGACGAGTATGGGTTGGCGGGAGGAGATGGAAACGGCGAGTCATTTTGGATGACGATAAGTGACAGAGTGATTAAAAGGAGACGGCGAGTCTCCTTCAAAGTTCAAACAAGGGTTTATCCAGGCGAAAGCAAAGCAGAGAAAGAGACCTGAGAGAGGCTGCTCGACCTTCATCACGAGAGCTAAGTGGAAGAAGAAGCGTATGAGGAGGTTGAAGAGGAAGCGCCGAAATATGAGACAGAAATCCAAGTAGTTTGCTTCCTTTTCAATAAACGAAGTGGAACGTAGCTTATCGATCTAGGTGAATTTCTGCAGTTCGTTCTCCTTTTCCCTGTTATTGTGAGATTTGAAAACCCTGTTATCAATAGCGAGTTGGATGTTTGGGATTTGATATTTCAATTGGATACAGTTTTGTTTACAACTGTTTATGGAATGTTTCTTGTTCAATATGAGTATGGGAAGCTGTCGCTTGTTCTGCTTGTCCAAAAAAAAATGGTACTCTTATCTTTTCAAATCAAGAAGAGCTTCAAGGGCTGAGATGGATTTTCCAGCAACACCACCACCATCATAGAGATGCTGGTACCTTTCATGAACCCAGATAGAGAGCTTTCAAATTGAAGAAAGGAAAAGGGTGACCGGCCGGCCGGCCGGCGTTATTGATCCTCCTAGGCGCCTCTTCCGTATTTATATTTTATTTATTTTTTTAATTGATGGTAATAATGAGGTGAAAATTATAATTTTTTAATTGACACGTCACATATTTAACGGTCAACTGTCAGAGTTGACTGCCACATCAACAAAAGTTAACGGAGGCTAACGGAGAGTGACCAAATTTGAACTGTTATACTAATTTTAGTGACCATGATTGGAATAAACTAATTTTAGTAGCAAACGTGAAACTTTCTAGTAATTCCAGTGACCAACCTTGCAATTTATGGCAAAACAATAGTAGCAAAGTTAGGCCAATAAAGTACTCACCTTTCATATATAAAAGAATGGGTAAATGACACATTTGGTCACTGAGATTACTAAATCGTGTCATATTTAGTCACTAGAAAAAATTAATATCAATTTTGGTCACTCGAATTACTGAAACAGGTCACATTTTGTCACTCTTCTGTAGCCTCTGTCCAACTCCGGTCACTCGAATTATTGAAAAATGTTACATTTAGTCACTCGGATTACTGAAACATGTCACATTTAGTCACTCTCCCAAAAGTTTCCGTCCAACTACATTAATGGAGTTGGACGGAAGCTGACGGGAGAGTGACTAAATTTGACCAGTTTCGGTAATTCGAGTGACCAAAATTGATATTAATTTTTTCTAGTGACTAAACATGACACAATTTAATAATCTCAGTGACCAAATGTGTCATTTACCCATAAAAGAATATTCCTCACCAGAAGATGGAAAAGCAGCAAAAATCACGCTCATATCATATGCGAATCACATTCTTGTTTGCTTGATGGATTTGGTGATGGATTTGGTGAAGGATTTGGATCCATCATGGACTTTGTCCAAAATCCATTGTTTGCTTCATGCATTTAGGGGAAACAAATCCGTGGGTCCCACGAACTTTAAGGGACCAAATCCGTGGACCCCACGGACTTGAAAGTTCCACCTATTTAGGTGGGAATTGATTATGGACTTTGAAATCCATCATTTTTTACCAACATACCCTTCATATTTGCTTTCTCTTCTTATATCATTAAGGGCAATAAAGGTAAATTACACTTCATACATACAAATTTAATAAACAAAATCCATCATGAAATCCATCAAACAAACAATGGTGTTCATCAAATCCATAATGAACCTAAAACCCTCATTTATCCATGGTTTTTCAAAACCCAAGTTATACCAAAACCTTCATTTTTCAAATCCACGACGCAAACGAGCCCTAAATGGCTTCCGGCAGTCCCCAAGTCCCTCCCGGCCCAAGGTTTTTACTTTTACCGCGGTATGGACCCGCCCAAATTCCAGTGTGCTCCGCAAGAAAACCCGACCCAACCCTATCTTTCCAACCGAAAGGAAAGAAGTTTCTCAGCTCGCTTTTCCTATATAAACTCCCCCTTCTCCTTCCTTCGACCAAAGCCTCAATTTTAGCTCCACCTGTCGTCTTCTTCATCACACACACACAGCACTATTTGCGATCTGTAAGTTCTCTTTCTTTTTTCAGCTTTTTACGATCTGGGCATTAGTTAATTCCTCGACTTTATGTTTCTGTGATTGCTGAATCCGCAGTGTTTTAAGATATGGCTGCCAAGAAGAGCGTTGGGTCTCTGAAGGAGGCTGATTTGAAGGGGAAGAGAGTGTTCGTCAGGGTGGATCTCAATGTTCCTCTCGACGACAACCTCAAGATCACTGATGATACCAGGGTTCGTGCCGCTGTTCCCACCATCAAGTACTTGATAGATCATGGCGCCAGAGTCATCCTCTCCTCTCACTTGGTATTTGATCTTTTCCCATTCTCAGCTTAGAAGGAATACGTGTGTATTAGTTTATCTGGGTTTTCGCTTCTGTATACCATCCGCGTCCTTCCACACCCAATGATCCTTCTGATCTCCTTGTGATCGTTAGCCAGAAAATGGTTTTCCTGCTAAAGTAATGTCTTTAAGATTGGATATCACTTGATTCGAATGTTCCACGCATTTGTGACATTGATTTTCCATATTGGACATAGATTTTGAGCATATTGACTTCAATTTTTTGCAAAATGTCAGTGGTTGATCGAAGCCAGTCTTTAGATTTGCATCAGAAGGAAGTTATGATATGTTGTTTTGTCTAAAGTTCAGATGTTGAAATGTATATTTGTATCGGATTCTCTGTTAGGATTTACCAAGTAGCTGGAACCTCTTCCTGGCTTCTCCCGCTTTAGCAGCCCTTATTCTATAACCTTGCTTGTACTACCTGGATCATAGTCACTAGGCTCAACTGCTCATTGAGGTTCATCATTTACCTTCTTGAGCATGGATTTTACCATTCTAACGGAGCTCTGTACTTTTATCTGTTTGATTTAGATCCTAATTGTTATCTCTTGGAGTGGCTGTCCTTTCTTTCACGTTTGTTGTGTTACTACTCCATTTAGTTATGTCCATAAGGAAAGTTCTCTTATTTATCATGATATTCCAATAGTGGTGAAAGCTTAAGGTCCTCTGTTCATTGTTCAGTCTCCTACTCTTTCTAACATTATCGTATTCACCAGAAAATTTTCAAATTGGAGCGATGCTGTTGAGTTCATTACTGTCCGTTAGAAACTTATTCTGTTTGATTCTCCGATTATGATTCCCAGGGTCGCCCGAAGGGTGTTACTCCTAAGTACAGCTTGAAGCCTCTGGTGCCAAGACTGTCTGAACTGCTTGGAGTCGAGGTTTGCTTCCTTGGAATAAGTTCTAATCTTGGTCTCCTCTATCCACTGGAATTGTTTGAGTTCTTACCATTATTTTCTCTGTTTGGTAGGTTAAGATGGCTAATGACTGTGTTGGTGAGGAGGTTGAGAAATTGGTTGCCGAGACCCAAAATGGAGGTGTGCTGCTCCTTGAGAATGTGAGATTCTACAAGGAGGAGGAGAAGAACGATCCCGAGTTTGCTAAGAAGCTGGCTTCACTTGCTGATGTCTATGTCAATGATGCCTTCGGTACGGCCCATAGGGCCCATGCTTCCACCGAAGGAGTTGCCAAATTCGTGAAGCCTGCCGTTGCTGGTTTCCTCATGCAGAAGGTATGGTTGACCATCTCCTACTGTATTCTGAGACTGTTTGGCTGATGGATATTTAGTTGATGGATTGTTTCAACAGCATTGGTTGGCTCACAAAAAGAAAACTGATGGATTTGTAAATCATGGCTATGTAGGAAAATGTCAAAAGTCTTTAACATTTTATCTCTTTCTCATTTAATTATGAGACACACACACACAATCCCGAATCCATTTCACCTCTCAAAATCCATCAATTTTGAAATCCATCTGCCAAACTCCCCCATGTCTTTACTTGTGTGAAGATTGTTGCATTGCTTAATGTATGGTTCTTTGCTTTCTTTAGGAACTTGATTATCTTGATGGAGCTGTTTCAAACCCCAAGAAGCCATTTGCTGCAATTGTTGGGGGGTCGAAGGTGTCATCTAAGATTGGCGTGATCGAATCTCTATTGGAGAAGGTCGATGTGCTGTTGCTGGGCGGAGGAATGATTTTTACATTCTACAAGGCCCAAGGAAAGGCAGTTGGGTCATCCCTTGTGGAGGTAGACAAGCTTGAGCTGGCTACTACACTCTTTGAGAAAGCAAAGACCAAGGGAGTGTCCCTATTGTTGCCTACTGATGTAGTCATTGCTGACAAATTTGCTGCTGATGCCAACAGCAAGGTCTGTTTCAGTCAATAGAAACTTGTTTATGTCTGCGTTGTTGGTTTGAATGGTTTGGCTGAAAATGTCTGTTTGTTTGGTGCAGGTGGTGCCAGCATCCGAGATCCCGGATGGGTGGATGGGTTTGGATATCGGGCCAGATTCCATCAAGACGTTCAGCGAGGCCTTGGATACCACCAAGACCATCATCTGGAATGGACCCATGGGTGTGTTCGAGATGGATAAGTTTGCAGTGGGAACCGAGGTATGCATTAGTGTTTATGGTAACTGGTTGCAACTTTGGCTAGTCTCAATATTTGAGTGGAATGTGAGGTCATTGTGGTGTGTTCAATTTTTCAGGCGATTGCCAAGAAGTTGGCTGAGTTGAGTGGGAAGGGTGTGACAACGATCATTGGAGGAGGAGACTCCGTGGCTGCAGTGGAGAAAGTTGGGCTGGCTGACAAGATGAGCCATATATCCACTGGAGGAGGTGCAAGTTTGGAGCTTCTGGAGGGGAAGCCACTCCCTGGAGTCCTTGCTCTTGATGAGGCATGAAGCAGCTCTAAGCTGTAAGGGGTATGTGGGATGGACCTTTGAGGGGAATGTTTGTTGTCTGCAATTTTTGCGTCTTTTGGTGGATTCTGCGTAGTCTATGGAGAGGGTTGGTTTTATAACCCCATAGAGTGGATGAACTCTTGATGATATCCTTTTGTAGAGAGATGAGAGCGAGGCTGTAGAGGGATATGATGCTTTAAATAAGCGGGCTTTCTTTCTTTGAATGAAATGGAATGCATCATGATGATGCCTACTCCCAGTGTGTCCTTGAACTTCGTTTATTTGGAGCTCCCAATTTCAGTGAGCTTAGCAACACACTGGCCTTTAGAGTTTAGTTAAGCAAGTAACTAGATAACCAATCTTGATGTGGGCTGCCAAGAACAGTTCTATCGCCTCGTTTGGGCAA